GATCCAGGCTCAAAATGAGCTCCTTGATATGTGCTTGAGAATGGCTTAGTCTCCGGTTAAACCCAGGTTTAAAGCCTTGCAGGGCAGCCTAAAGCCCACTGCCAACATTAAGACAGAAAAAAGAAAGAAAATAACAAACCATCAGTTCAGGGGTTTGAGAAAATATGGGAATCAGGAAATTGTACCAAACTGAAATATTGTCTGAACTTTAGATTTTAAAATGGAAAATCTATATTTTATAAATTAAATGTCTGCGCACTTTTATTGGTTGATGATTTCTTTTATTTGGACCCCGATGATTTTTAATTGGTTACCCCTGCCATAGTCAATACTCGTTTATCCCTTTAGTTTTGTAGGACAAATAGCCTTTAAACTACCTCATCAGGCATGTATCGCTTTAGTCATATACAAAAAAACTATTTCATTACTTATTTTTTAAAGCTTACGGCGATCTGACCTTAGCCAGTTTTTTTTGTGCATGACTAAAGGGAAACACGCCTGATGAGGTAGTTTAAAGTCTATTTTTCCTACAAAACTAAAGAGATAAATGCTAACCTGTTGTCTTGCACATGCGTGTTGACTATAGGTTTGCTGGTCTGACAGAGCAGCGTCCTTAGCTTAGCATTTCATATCCCAATAGTTTTAATGAGTTTTGCAGCCCTCCTAAGGAAACGGATAAGCTATGATTTTAGCTCCGGATCAACATTTCATTCCTTCCTTCCTTCCTGGATCATTTTTATTTTCCCCCACTTCACCCAGAAGCTCTTAATGTCAAATCAACGATGACACCAAAGGTCTCAGTGTAGCTGCACTGTATCAAACTATAGCATCCCAGTGATGCTAGAGTGTGATTAATTGATTAATTGATAAAAGTCCTCTTTGACCGATTCACACACTTAAAAACAAATGAACTATTAATATGAGAGCAAAAGGCAGATATAGACATACTTCCTATAAACCTGCAGCGTCACTTTATCAACCAACGTTTAGATACGCTTTGCAGCCTAAAGTATTTAAAATCCTATGTAGGAAACATTCATGCAACAGTATAAATACTACTAGTTAAGAAATGCATGCTGAGTATTTGTGCGTGGAACGGAGCCTGACTTTGTATTTCATCTTAAAAAGCGAAACTGTCGATCCAGTGCAGAAGCCGACATGCACCGCACTTCCTTTCTGTCTAAATGAGTGGGCAGATGACGCTCTATTTTTAGATGGAGGCCAGAAGATGCTGAACTTGACACAGAGACAGAGCGACGGTAAAGAAAGACAGAAAAATAGCTGCACCACATGATTCAGAGTGTTTCAAGGTTAGATGTCAGAAACCGCTAAACTCGACCGCTTTGAATGAAACCTTTCTTTCAAGCTCAGCTGCTTAATACTTGCATAAAGTATTTGCCTAATCCTAAACTAATCTTGTTACTCAAACGCAGAGCAGGAAGGGCATCAGGACTTATCAGAGCAAAGTAGGAGGAAAATTTCAGCAGCAAAAAACTGGATTTAAAGGGAGAGAAACATAGAAAGCATTAGAAACACTGCAGAGTGAACAGAAGGTTAACTCGCAGCTTTACGCTGCAGAAACTCCTACGAAGCAGAATTTGTTTGCAGAATAAGTTGAACTGCCCACAGAGGTGCCAAAATAACAGGTCCAACCACTATTAGATGAGCCGGGGCTGAATACCCGTAAAACAAATTCCCCTCAGGCTGTTGACTATTTACGGTTAATGTTAATCAGTTCCTGGTGTTTGCGGCCTGCAGACACACATCTGTCTGCAGCCGCTCCTGCGCAGACAGCAGACAGCTGTCAGCGCGCCTCTGTGGTCAGCCTGAACAATGAGACCAAACAGAAAACAGGGGGGGGTTCATTTCCGGTCCGGCACGCCGCGGATATCTGAGAAAACAGGAAGGACCCGGCAGAGCGGCGTGGAAGTGCAATCATAGACTAATAAACAAGTGCTGGAGGGGGTGGGAAGGTTTTTATGGGTGGTTCTTTCATTGGAAACCCCCCCCCCCCCCCCCCCCCCCCCCCCCCCCCCCCCC